AAAGAAAAATGGTACCCCCAAGAGCTTTGGGAAGCTGCCAGCACTGCAGTGGGATGTGGGAAGCTCCTCAGCCTGTATTGGCAGTGGTTGTAATGTGGTCCCGGAATCACAGCATGAAGAATCTGGCTGGAAGAGGTTGAGGCATGATTCCCTGGGAGACCTCTTAGTCATAAACAGAGATGAAAAATGCCCAGCTACAGTGTTTGTTTACTGTAAGAAGTCCTGTGAAGCTGCTGGACAGGGTGCCCTTTGGCATGCAGAGGCGCCTGGCTATCTGCCCCCTCTGCTCTGGCAATGCCTTTGTTGGTTGCAATATTCTAGCACGTAGCTGGTCTCCAAGGCAATGGTAAAGATCAAATCTCCTCGTCAAGGCAATTGCAAGAGCACCACATTAAAGTTTTCCTTTGGTATTTTACTCCAGTCTCCTTGGAGCCTTTATTCCTGTAAAGGAACAAATGCCACTTCTTTTCACAAAGGTTGTCCTTAGTTGGTCAGAGATGGATCTCTTAACAAAGAGCAGGGCTCATTTGGAGCTCTTCACCAAGTCTCTGTGGGAAGTGGAGTAGGGGCTGTCTTACAGGAGTGGAGTCTTGGCTTCCACATGGATCACATCTGTACTTTGCAGGGTACATGCTCCAAACCACTGGGAAGGTCAGGCTTGGTTTGCCCTGCCATAGCATGACAAGTAGTGTTCACACTGGCAGACGTGATAAATGCACTGTAACAAAGCACATCTAAATCAAGTTACGTTAATTATTTTCTAGTCTTTCAATGCTTTTGCTCAAGACCCTAGAAAAGGCTTTTGAAAAATACTTATCCATACCTAAGCACAACAACTAAGAAGGTAAGAAAAATCTAGGGGAATTGATTTGACAGATAGTAACCTCTGGGACAGGAGGAAAGACAGCTCATGCTGAGAGTGCAGAGCCTTGCAGGGCTGGAAATCCGTTCCTTTGTGTCCCGTGTCACTTGGGTGTCCCTCAAATGCATGCACATTCCCTCTAAACATTCCCCATAGCTCTGGTAATATTTTCCTCCATCATAGTCATACTGTGAGGATTAATTCCTTCATGTTTCTTTGAAATGGAGGAGGAGCTCAGCAGATTGCCTGCAGCGAGGTGCAGTAGTGCTCCCATGGAGGTGCCTGTAGCTGAGGGGACATGCATTGCAAAAGCCAAACCCAGCAATATTGCCAATTCTATTAATTTAAAAGCCAGGAGTCCAGCTTATGAAATGATGATAGTTTAAGAAACAAAATGAAATCAAAAAGATCCGTGAATAGCATGTTTTTTCTCTGTTTAATGCAACTTCATTGTATGCAGTGGTGATGTTTTATGTCCTTTAACTATGAGTTAGAAACAATTTTTTTGTTTTTCAAATGAAAGTTAAAATGCCTGCATATTTTCATGTATCTAGGTAGGAGGGACTTTAAGTACCAAACCACATGTCATGAGGCCCAGGCTGAAGCTACAGGAGCAGCCTGTGTATTCTAGCACAGTAGAACAGGATTTCCATTGCCTTTTGGCTCTGGGGGTTGGAGATACATGAGGCTCCAAAGCTTAATCCCTGTTAGAGCCCTGATAACACTGATCTTATATGTAAGAAGCCTCAGAATCCTTATTGCAGTTCCATATGTTGGTGAGTCCAGAAGCTGATCAGCAGGCATTGAATTAGCCAGCAGAGTGAAGATTCAGTCAGGAAATTCATTCTGTAGGGGTGTCTAATTTCTAAGTGTTTACAGCTCTGATTAACTATATTCTAATAATATTCTTGGATGTTTTGTGGTGGCAAGGACTTAATAAATGTGATTATTAATCAGAAGTTTAGCAAGTAACGTCTTCATAATTTATCCCCAGGAAAAAATGCGCTTCAGTATTCCAACTTATTAAATTAAGGTAATGTATTTGTGGCTGGATTTTTAGTTTCTGTGTCTATATTTATCTATTTGTCCATCTCATCTGGCTTCAGTATCACTGAACTGTAAAGATGATCAAAGGCAAAATGAGAATGCTGAAGCTGGGGTCTCATTTGAAATATTGTCTTTCCAGACTGATATTTTTCCAGTCATTCTGCCAGAAGTCTCCATCATCTATTTAAATTGTCGTTTAAGTGCAGCTCTTGGCCCAAGTCAAGGCCATCTGTGTTGGGTAATAGTTGTGATTTATTCTGCCTCTGGTTGACACTCATGCTCCTGGGCCAGATGCTGACTTGCAAAATTTGCTTTTATTAATTTTCAGTTTTATACCATGTGTTAATATCACAAATAGCATTTTAATTTTAGATTTTTTTTGTCTAGTGTTTAAATTTAGGGATGAGTAACAGTATCACGCCCCTCTCTGGAATGCAATTCAGCATACTTGAGAACAGGATAGCACATTTCAGAAATACATTCAAACAATGTTTCTAAATGTCTGCTTTCTTCCTAATCACTTGTCTCTATGCTCATTTCTGTTGCATATAAATAATTAGGTATTGCTTTCAAATAAAAGTTTGGGACTCTTTGAAGATTTTTGGAGCTTGAGAATGTTGTGGGTGGCTAACTGTAGTGAAAATATCTGTGATAGTCTGCAGCATAAACTTTGCTTTCAGTGTAGAATGAGGGTAGTTATGAAACTGCAAGTTTGGACTGACTGTCAGAAGGACACTCCTGCATATAAAAGATAAATGTTATTAGGGAGATGGATAAATTTCCCTAATTCCAAATTTTAAAAAATGGCTTTTTGTAGATGGGCAGCTTCCAGACAATCTGTGCTTCTCGCACAGTAACTCCTGGTAGCAGTTTGGTTTTAGAGCTGACTGGCTTTTTGTGTGTCTGTCTTCTCCAGAATTGATGTTGAATCACTGAGGGGTTGTGCAGCAACTCCAAAGCACATTTGAATACAATTGTGGAGCCCTTGTGGTAGTTCTTAATACAATTTTTACATACAGTAAGTAAAAATGCCATTATAAGCAAAGCTAAGCCAGGATAAATTAATGCACCAATCTTCAGATGGGTTAGCAAAAAACAGTTTTTACTTGTAATGATTCTCAGGTGTGCAGTACTTCTATTTGCTAAGTAATCATGGTGTGGACTCTCAGAAACATTGAAAAAGAAAAATAAAACAGTATAAGCATTTTTAAGCAATGCTAAAAATAGTCATCAAATCATGACAAGGGCATTGTTACAAAATGTAGTTGTAGACATCTTATCTTTGGCCTATTCCCTTGGGAACATTGGATTTCAGGAATGGTTTTTATGTAAAGTTCATTGTCGTACTGAATGTTGTCTTAATCTTAGTGGTTCAAAAGTGAAATGGGAATTACATGTGTGATCTGAGATTTATACCAGAGTGGTTTTATAATTTTGGTACCAAGATGTTTTTTACAGACATTCATTTAAGTAATGTTTTCTTCTCATGGTCAGTCATTTGGGTTTTTGGGGGGGAAATTTTTGATGGGAAAAAAAGAGAGTGGTATTTCTTCAATTCTGTGTCTACAGAATATCTTGATATATTTAACACCTAACTGTGTGTAACTCAGTTCCCTGAATCTTACACATAACAATGTAGTGTTTAGATATTAAAATGGCAAAAGTACAGTTACCCTGACATTAATAAATTAATAACTGTGTCCTGAAGGAAGTCTGATTCAGTCTGCTGAAAAGATCACCTTGGCCAAAAGTATGAGATGTGTGTATGCCTGTTCTTACGTGGGAAACCATGAAATGGGATGGGCCCATCAAACTTGCTTCTGCTTTTTAACGACGTGTCTGGCTCTTGGAAAGCAAAAGGCAGATGTTCTGTTCTGGCTTTAGGGCAGTTACAAAAACCTCTTAATGAGTTGGTGTCCACATATTTGCATGGTTACACCTGCCAGCTTTCATTTTTCTCAGGGATACTAGGAATGAATTGCTGGGATTGGGAGAAGGGCAAACACAGGGGCTGGGAAAATAAACCTTTCCATTAATTCTTGGAGACCTGGAAAAGGTACTTAGTGATTGGCAGGTTTTCGTTTCACTTAGATCCTGAGTTATAAATTTAAACTCAATTCGACAATTATATAAACAGCCTTTTGTTCCTAATTACTAAGAGAGAGCAAATATACTTCCTCCACAATGCCCACTGCGTGCTGAGACAGTGCAGTGAAGCAAAGTTCTATCAGGGAATCTAAACTTTGAAAGACATGGGAAGCTTCCCTCATCCTCAGTAGTCTTTCTTTGGTCCAGCTAGATCAGCAAAGCACAGTAATATGGGAGATGCCTGGACTGGAGCTTTTAAGTTCTGTTGATAAGGGAAGAGCCATATTTTCCCTTGAGCAATTTGAGTTCAGCAACAGCAAAAAAAACCAACCTGAAGAAAGGCTGCATTTTTCCTTGCAGGTCAGGTCCATATCCAGAGTGTTTCCTGCAGATGCAGCTTCCACGGCTCAGACCCAAGGTAGTTAGTTTGAGCACTGCTGTCTTACAGCAGCACCCAAGCACCTCACAGTTGAGATATGAAACTAAAGCACAGCTTTACCATCAAACTTCCCTGGGAGGTTTTGTCAGCAGAGCTCATATTTCACACCCCATCACACCTCTGACCAGTGAGTCCTACTGCACGATGCACGTGGTGCAGAGCTTGACAGAGACAGCAAGATGACTTAGAGTAAACGGTGCTGCAAATGAAACTCCAATTCAGCAAGGTCCTCTAACCACATGTTTAAATATTGTTGAAGTCAAGTTAAACTACTTTAATCATATATACATAAGTACTCAGTTGAATGAGGGCTTAATAGTAGTTTCCATCTCTTTCAACATGATCAAGGCTTTTTCATATTCCGCTGCATGCGATAGGGATTTCTTCTTGGTTACACAGCATGAGCAATTGCTGTGACTTTTGGAAGACTTCCACAACGATATGAATTTTCTGAGCTGTTGTAAATAGTTCTATGTGGTATGCCTGTAACATAGAATGGAAAGGAATTTTCCCAGCTCTGTACTTTCAGAGTAGATTTAACACATCTTTTCCGCTGTTTTCCAGGACCACCTGTTATTGCCAGCCACCACACATAATAAGACCAGAAGGCCAAAGATGTCTATAGTGTTGCCAGCTGTAAACATCAATGGTAAGTCCAAAACATGAAAGAGAACGATAAGAGAACAATTTCAAAGAGATGTGCCTGGAGTGTGCATGGAAAGCAAACTTAGACCAAATGCCTGTCATTATAACTTTGCAAAAGAAGTCAAACAGGTCATTACTGGGCCTTAGTTGCCAGGGTCCCCTTTGAATCTGGAGTACTGGCAAATCACCAGTGCCTGGTCACCCAGACTGTATATAGGACTTGGCCAGTGGTTCTGCAGTGTCTCATTCTGGCTCCTTCAAGAACAGAGGGGGTGCCATCCAGTCTTGCTGATTTGTACACAGCTGGTTAAGGGTTACATGAACACGATTTAACTTCTCTGGCTTGGTGGCTACAGAGATCCCGTTGACCGTGGAGACTGTCCTCATCTTCTCATTTGTGTTCCTCCTACGCCTGCTTAGCAGGGCAAATTCCTTGGCCTTGCTAGTTTGTTAGGATGCTGACTGCCTTCCATCGGCTTCCTCAGCTGTTTACCACTCTGTTATACAACACTCAGTGTGAGTGGGACCTCTCAGCACTGCATGGTCAGGATTAATAATCATCATGTTACAGTGCTGCAGGACAGCAGGGAAAACAGCTTTGCAGTGGGGCACAGGCTTATTAGTGCACAGAAATGTTCTTGATCCACATTTCAGTCCCACATGAGAGACAGGACATGGCCTTTGCAAATATATCGTTAATTCCTATGGTGAGGAACTGCCAATTTAAGACATGTTTGGGGCACGGGGTCATTGTCACAGTCATCAAATGCATTGTGAACCCTGTAACAGTATAAACTTTACTTTCTCAGTAACTCTGCACATAATGCTTTTTTAAAACGTCTGTGTTTTACAGTACATGTGAATCGTAAACCCAAATGTTGTTGTTAAATTGGAGCATGCCGAAAACATTATCTGATGATGCGAATTTCCATAAACTAAGGGAAAAAAAATGAGTTCAGACTTTCAACATTTTGATAATTACACTTTCCCATACAGTACTGTCGAGTGTGATAATCTGTACAGCTGTCTTAGGGGAATTTTTATTAGACGTATCAGAATTATTTTTGGCATTTATCTGCCTGAAACTCCCTTCTTATGTCTATTACAAAAATCCTTCTCTGGCTGAGCTGAATTATCACGTGCAAATGGGTACTTTATCACTCGAAGTACAAATGCTATTTCTAAATAGCATTTCTAAATTTCTAATGCATTTCTAAAGTATTTCTTCTTAACAATTTACTGAGTCTTGTTTTACTTGAAATAATTTTTCAGTTGTTGGAGTAAATATAATTTGGAAAATGTGCATCAGAATCCAGTGACAAGTCTTATCCTTCATTTATTATTTTGTTATTATGAAACATTGTGAAATATATTTTCTTGAGTTCTTCGGGATTTTTCTTTGGAACATCAGCATAATCCAGGAAATAAAAAATGTCCAGGGATTTGGGCAGAGATGTCAAAACAGATGAGACACAAGGATAGCATTAAGTAAACAATGGTGTCAAACACTGATTCCTCTGTGACACCCAGCCAGGTATTAGGAACAAAACTGTAAGATACACAAGAAACAGTTGGTAACTTGGCTTGATTTTCATTTGACTATTGGTAGATAACCTGAAGGAAACTATTTCCTAGAATGTTCTTGTCTGGAGAAGAACCCGTTTGTCTCCTTTGAGAATATTGTTTCTCCACCCTGTTCTCCCTCTGTAGGGACAGAGCATGTCCTGAACAAGCATCTGGAAGTTAGCTGTCAACAAGGCTTTCCTCCCAGCTGTCTTAAGGTCTTTTGAACCCACCTTAATTCTTTGTGCACCTGCAGAGAGTTGGCTGATGGAAAACCATGAGTCTCCTTGGGAGAAATTGGCAAAACGTTCACTGAAAGAACTTGTCCCCTCCTGCCTTTTCTTGTGCCTCAGCCAGATCTCTGTGCAAGAAGGGAAACCTTTTCTACTACCACTTCCTTGCCCTTCCTTTTTGCTGCCACAGCCCTGGCAGAGGAGATGACAGGAATGCAAGTAAAAGGGTCTTTTTTGTGAAACTTTTTCAGAACTTCATGACTTACTTTCTTCTGCAGGGTCTTTTTCTGTGTGCTAAAGTTTACCCATGGAACTGTTTCCAAACATGAAACAGTTGACAGTGCAGTTGAGAAGCAACCCTTTGAATTACTTGGACAGTCTTTTCCCATCAGGATGGATTCTTTTCTGATTACACTTTGATTGCTCTAGTACTTTCTGAGCTCCACTAGAGACTCTGCCTTTAGCTGACTTGAGCCATTCTCACCGCTGGCTGCTGGGACAGAGAACAGGTACAGACAAAGATTAGAAAGTAGAATGAGTTGTCAGCTGCTGTCCTTCATGGCTCTGTATGGAAGTTCATGACATGGTTCTGCAAGACTGGTCTGGCAGTTTTCACCAGTGTACAAAGCAGTCAAGTTTACAGTCTGAAGAGGTTTCCTGTGAGGGAAGAGTTGGGGTAAGTCCGACCACTGGCAGTCTTTGTGCTGTGCAGGTAGTGGCAAATCTTTGTAGTAGACATGTGCATGCACATGTGTGCAGTCAGTAAGATGGAAGTTGAGGAGAACGATATTGTACAAGGCAATAATGGTACATGATTAAATTTCAGGATAAAAACTTGATTTAAAGTATTCAGTTGCTGTATGTTGGAAAAGAGTAAAAATGGCCATTACTTGTAGTTTTCTGCCACATGCTTCTTCTCCCAGTCAGCCTGAACTGCCCATGCCCCTCTGCCAGCCTGAGAATAAGCTAGACAGATCCTCACTGAGGGCATCTGTGCAGGTGCACAGAAATATATTTGAATATTTAAATATGTTTAGTGTGTTAACATATGTTAAATATGTTTAATGTAATTTTTTTTTTAAGTATAGGAACTTGTTGCATGTTAGTACGTGTTAATCCTCTCCCTCATACTCCCTGTTCCTTCCTCCCGCCCTGTTCATAGCCCCTTTCCAAGCTTGCTGGGCCATCCCCCAGTTCACAGTCAATACTTGCTGTCAGCTCCTCCATTTCTGCCTCCCTAGATGCTCTTGCAACCCTTTACCCTTCTCCCATTTCCCTGCTGGCTGCTGTCCCATGGCACAGCTCTGCCCTTGGCCCCTGCAGCCAGACATGCCCAATTCTGACCTGCCTCTGCCCAACATCAGAGCCCCAGCATTTGTGGACACATGTAGTACTTGCAGAAAATCTGCCTGATGGTACCTAAGGACCTTCCTGTTGGTAAGCCTGGAGGAAAAAAAAGCAGAACTGTGGAGTCCTAATCCCACTCTACATGGTTTTGGAGGCACCATTGGTCTGCCTTTTGGAGAAGTTATTCCAAGAAGAAATATCTTGCAGTTTCTCATGGGAATGAAAACCAACTGCAATTTACAGTTAAACTCCAGCTTTTGTTTTCAAGCAAGTTGTGTTTGTTATGCTGGATTGCAACTATTATTTTAGAAATCTAACTATGCACTAGAGACCATTTAAGTCTCCAGTAGGTTTCATTCCTAAATTTGCTTTTATTGTAATTCAGAATCTTGTTGGCTCATTACACCAATACCAAACTGACATATAGGCGGTGCCTTTCTTGAAGTTTTAAGTGAAACCATCTGCCATTAGCCTTCTATTTATTTAACTGCTGTAAAAAATGCGGTGGGTTATGACATCGATCTTTGGGTCCAAATAATCTATAGAGTACAGCATAACTAAGCCACTCTTCCTACCCCAAGCATAAGCCTTTTTTCCCCTGCAGAATGCCTGCAGCTTTGCAGCACCGCACACCCCACACTCCTCTCTGTGTCACAGAGAAGTGAGAACATAGGCACAGCCATTCAGTGTTGGAGATTCCATTCAACGTTTGGCCCAACATTGAACGCGTTTCCCCCTAGGATTAGGTGAGGTGCTCTCACAGCTTGCTCTTCCTCTTGGTAGGAGCAGCTGTAAATGTCTGTGGACATTACAGGAGTACTGGTGGCCCTAGCAGCAGCAGAAAGACCATAAAGGCCTTTTTTCTTCTTAGGATCGCTGTGCAAAACAGTTCCCCGAGCAGGAAAGTCCTTCCATCCTTTGCTCTCTCTAAATTGAGGGTTGGTGTCTGCACTCTCAGCCAAACAAAAGTGAGAGAACTGATGAGAAAGCCCCTGGTGCAATCTGAGGCTCATTTTCTTGGGATTGGCAACCATGACAGAGAGAGTTTAGAATTTTTTACAAATATTCTGGATAGGTCCTCAGTCTGATGTAACCCAGTGGGGCTTGTCTTCAATCTGCCTTAGCTGTTTGTGTGCCTGACCTTCTATCACTTGTAGGTTTCTGGGTTCTTAAGGAGCCCTGTTCTTTTAAAGGTTACATTTCGTCGTGAAACACAACATCCAAATAATCTTCTAAAGGCAGAAGTAGAATGGGATAGTTAGTTTTGCAAAGTCCATGTACTCTGTTGTGTTGGCCAACTTCTGATTGTGACCACTTCCCTCGGCTTCCCTTGTTAGCATCCATCATCCTACTTATGTAAAAGACTTCAAATGTGCTCTGAAATAACACACGTTCTAATTAAAAAGGTGAATTGGTAAGTGGTAAGGCTTTTTGATCAAAACTGGAGTGATTTCTGACATCAAGCTGCACGATTATTTGCATGTGGCTACAAAGAATGTTCTTTCAACTGACAGCCATGCACAAGCAACTCACAGATGTCCAAGGCTGGTAGCAAACTGTCTGTGAAAAATCCATAAGGCAAACAGAACCCACACGGGCTGAGAAGGAAAATAAAAACTAAAGCTCTTTGGGAAGTGACAATGTTCTGTAAGTTCCCATGTCTTGGGGTTGAATAAATAAAGTCTTCAGCTTCCTCTGCCTTTCAGGGTCAAGCAAACAAAGGATGCCATTTCCGTTTTTCAGAGCAAGAGGCAGAATTCCCAGTCAGTCATTGAGGAAGGTCTAAAACAATACATATCACTGACTGAACAGCAGCTGACTTCCCTCAAGGCTACTGCTTGATGTTTTGGGTAGCCTTCTC